GGAAGGCGCATACTTCCTGCCCCTGCCAAGACGCTGTCCGGTGCCTGCGGTCTAGCGAAATATGGCAGGTCAGATCCGGGCGGATGGAGGCTGGGGCAAAGCTGGGTGCCTCTGTTTTCCAGGGCTCTTGAGAAGTGGCAGGGCACCAGGAGAGAATTCCTGTCTCCCAAGCCCGCTGCTTGGCTTCTGTTTTTCTATCTCGGCAGTGTTTCCATTCTCAAGCCTCTGAGGTGGGACTCTGTCCTAAAATACCCGCTCCTGAGCCAATTCGCCAACCCTCTGTAGGCATGCCATCTCTCCCGCCTAGGCAAGGATCCCAGGAGAGGGTAAGGGGAACAGGACTTTGGGACACCCACACAGACCTTAGGATAGGATCATGGTGGCATGTTTAGGGTCCCCAATCTGTCCCCAGTAGGTAGATATGCCTATGGTAATGGACCAAAGGTGAGAAGAGGGGCACCTCCTTTCCCTCCACACAGCACAGGACTCAACGGCTCTTTCATGAAATCATAATTTTACTGTCTCAAAGAAACTTTATAACTTATTTACAAAGTTTCCCTCCCCCCCCAAGATACAAAGCAATAAGTTAACATTCTCAATATAAAACTAAACTTTGACATAGAGAACACAAAACACGTTTGATTTCAGTTGGTCACATTTTCCAAATTTCACAAGTAAAATGTCAAGATTCTCATTTCACAAAGCATCGGGTTTACAGCCACACACAACAGAACAGAACGAGGCTAAGCTTGTGCAACATGTTTACAGAACAATAATAATAATAATTAATAATAATAATAATAATAATAATAATATGTACAGCAATTAGATTCTGCACCAGAGACTGTGCGTTCAGGGTGATGACTTGGGTTCTGTGGTCGAGCCCCTGGGGATTGTTTAAAGCTGCTTGTGTCTTACTTCAAGGAGACCTGGAATTGGGGCGCTTTCACAGGACTGATTTTCTCTCCAAGGACCATTGGTCCTCTCTCTTGCTGTCCAAAGCATGCTTTCCCTCTTGTCCGAGTGTTCCTGATAAAATCCTGATGGCTTCACTTATCTTTCTTTTGTTACTTCACTCTTTGTTTGTTATTAGTTAATAATTTGGGACATGTAAAATGCAAATCATTCTGCTTCCATTGCTCCATTCCAGCAAAGCACAAAAGTTACAAGGGTGTACCTTAAAAACCACTATCCCCTCCTTGTTCTCTTTTCTGGTGTATTAAAGGTAAATAGTATGTTTGGACAGTGCCCACTCCATGCCCCAGAGAACCTGGAATTGGCCAACACTCAGCATCAGATAAAGTCTGTTTTTCAATAAATTAACCCCCCTCCCTCTGATTTTCCCCATTTCCCAAACAAGCTACACAGGTGGTCAAGCAGGGCCCGGAAGAAAGAAAAAAGCGTTCCAGGATTCGGTGAAGGGCTGCCGGCAAACCGGTGTGGCTCAGACCTGGTGACTTTTTGGAGAGGCCGCAGAATGAAGACAGCAGACACACGAGGACCTTGACTCAGCGCACAAGACAGTGCAAAAAGGAGACAAAGACAGACAGAACCGAAAAAAGAGCATTTCCCCCCTCCTACATATTTTCTTTTTCCTGATAGTTTCACAAGGCTGAGAGTCTGGTCGGGTCCAGCGGGTTGTCTTGTTGCTCGTTCTCCAGTAGCCGTGCCTGCTTTGAGGCCACTCTGTTGTCCCCGCGTGGCCCAAACCAGGTTCAGGCCCAGAGTTGGAAACTCGCTGGGCCAGACCTTTAGGGGCTCCGAGGAGGCAGCAAGCCCTCTGCCTTCACTGTTCCTTTTTTCTTTCCTTTTTTCCTTCCTCACCTCGGGGTCCTTCTCCTCCCAGCCCAGGGCACACGAAAGGGTGGATGGACCTGGAGGCGGGAGGGGCTGGGCCAAGGGAGACTGGAAGGAGGCGTGTGAGTGCGAACTGATAACCTCACATGAGTTGAGGCTGCTGCATAGCTTCTTGGTGCGCTGAAGGATACCATGATGTGTAGCTGGGGACATAGGAGCCTGCGCTGCTGCCGGAGCCTTTCCCAGAGGAGGAGTTCGGATTCCAGCCGGGTGGCACTGGTGGGGAGCCGGCAGACAAGGCCCTGCCATTCGCCAGCGAGCTGCCCTCCAAAGCTGCCCCGCCTTGCTTCATCAGCTTCTTGAACTTGGAGCGTTTGTTCTGGAACCATATCTTGACCTGCAAGATCGGGCGACAACGTGACTGGTCTGTGACCGCTGAGCCTACTCAGGCCTGAGGAGGAGAAAAGGGACTGGTGGAAGAGAGTACCCTCCCTCCTGGCTCTGCCGGGTCTGGCAGCTCCAGCCTAGACGGGTAGAGACCACCGCCACCCCCAACCCCCATGAGAGCCAAAGGCTAGAAAACTGAGCCCCCAATCCCACCGTTGCTGATAACAATTAGTTCAGCTCTCAAATTCGGGGCGGGCGTGGGGTAAGAGTAAGGGAGACCCAGTCCTTGGTTTGCAAGTGGGTCAGTGCCACCGGGGCTGCTGTTTATGGAAGACCACCTGCATGCAAAACAATGCAATATCAATAAAGAAAATTTAAAACCTAGATAGGAATGGAGGCCATCTATTTATAATTAGACCTCCTTCCTTTTGCACCAAACTTTCTGTCTTTGGATGACTTTAAGAACTGGTGGAGGAAGCCACAGCCGGTTTGTTAAACTTTTCTTAGGACTCAATCCAACCCCCTCCCCCTTAAGTGAGTTTGCTTTCCTCATCTCCAATCCAAATCTAGAGACAGACTTTGGAAACCGGTGTCAACTCCGGTTTGAATGTCTACAAACTTGACCACAGTCTTAGAGAAAAGCAGGAAGAAAAAAATCTCAAGTACATATATATATATTTTTTCTCTCTCTCTCTCCAGGATCTGGGACTTTTTCACTTGGGAAGTGAAAGAGCAGAGGGAAGGATCCCTCTTCTGCCACCTCGTGAGGAGGAAGTGGAGGGAGATTTAGGATTAGGCCCAGGATCCAAGTGATTAGCCACACACTTTAAAGGCAAAGGAGGATTAAATCCCCCTTCTATTGTTCCAGTTGTTCCGGCACGTGTGACCTCAGAATCTCCGAACAAAACGTGTGGAGAAATCCTTCCTGCTCCCGGATCAGAAGTCCAGGGACCGAAGAGCAGGCAGCCTGCAGGTCAGAGTAGAGTCCGAGCTAGGACAGACAGCATGTGGGAGGAAGGGGAGACACTGGAAGTCACGCACACACGCACACACGCACACACGCACACACGCACACACGCACACACGCACACACGCACACACGCACACACAGGCACAGTGACATCTCGAACCAGAGGCCCAGTGAACAAGAAATTCGAAGCCTAGGGCTCAAACCCAGCTCAGGAACCCTATTTGTCGGACAGGCAGAGGCCAGGTACCTGAGTCTGTGTGAGTCCCAAGGAGGCTGCGAGCTCCGCCCTCTCAGGGAGAGCTAGGTACTGAGTTTGTTGGAACCTCCGATTCAAAGCCTGCAACTGCAAACTGGAATAAATTGTCCTGGGTTTACGGATCTTTTTCCCTTTGCCATTAAAGCGCACTTCACCGCCTTCCACCACGGTGCTCTTCTCGGAGTCCGCCCCTGGAGGGACAACAGAAGCAAATACCCTTGTTAATTCTGGACTGCCTTTAATGCGGAGGGACGAGAGAGAGTGTCTATGGATGGGCTGGTAGAGGCAGGGTCCGGAAAAGAACGCTCAAGAAACCCTGAAAGACTGCAAAGGTTCCTCAAGGTCCGAGCGCAGATCCCTGTCTGCTGCAGACAGAATTGGGCCGATCCCAAGAGCGCAGCTATTGCCTTTGCAGGGAAAGTTTGCTATTTTTGCAGGCGGTAGTTGAGGTTTAATTACCCTTAATTGCATACATTGTTTATAGCGCTACGCAATAAATAATTACCGAGACTAATACGCGCACATGTGGGTTTCTGTTCTGCAGCAGGGCATTGTGTGCTCGACGCACCGAGCAGTCCGGAGGCCCAGCCAGTGCCAGGAGACGCGCTCGGATTTATCCTTTGCTGGACAGTTGTAAATTGAATTGACTTAATATTTTTTTTCTTTTCAGTGACAAGGATCTATAGATTGATATCCGAAACCTCTACTACTTCCGCGCCTTCCCCACCCCCACCCACCTCTCTCTACCCCACTCTTCTCTCTTGTCTTCTCTCGTTCCCCCTCCCCTTCTCCCCCTTTTTCCTACCCTTCTCTCCTTGTCCCTGGCAAGCGCACGTACCTGGGTCCTCCAGGCGGCTCTGGGCGAGGCTGGCACTGCCGGGGTAGGACTGCACGGAACTGATGTAGGGGCTGGACGCGTGGCTGCTGACCGAGTTGACGTAGGGGTAGCCCAGCGGTCGGGAGAAGGATGAGGCCGAACTGTAGGCACTGTCGGGCTGCGAATGGCCGGCCGAGTGTAAACAGTGCATGGAGTAGTGCCCGTGGGACATGGGAGAAGGAGACATTTGCTGGTTGGGCGGCCCAAACTCCATAAACACCGCCTTGCCCGACACGGGGCTGTTGAGACTTTCTGGCATGGTGGTCATGGTCATCTCTTCTCGCGGGGTCTGGGTGTGGGTCTTTCTCTCCTCTGCTTCCCTTTTGGGGGTCTCTATGTTTCTCAGGACAGGAAGGAACCCAATTTAAGCGGAACAGGGGTTTTCACTTTCCATTCATAAGAAAATGGAGTTTGTCTCTTTGAAAAGTCTAAGCATGATGCTGCCGAGCTCCCCAAACTCGGTTCAAAGCTTTGACTCAGCCAAGGTCATAAATATTCATGAGCTGGTGGAGCTGATTGGTCGGCTCTCTTGCATAATCACCGGGGATTGGTCCGAGAAGCTCCGGCTTGGCTGGACTAGAGCGGGCGACGCGGCCCGGCCTGGGGAGAGTCGGGTCCACACGTCCCGGCCCGGGCTCCTCTGCAACAGAGCGCGCGGAGCGTGAAGCACAATGGGCTGTGGCGTCCGTCCGCGCTGGGACTTTGGAGGCCAG